CGATCCTCCTGCCTCAGCTTCCCTAGTCACTGGGATTACAGGCGCGTGCCACACACCCGGTGACTTACTTTATTCCTAAGATTTCCAATAAATGAAAACAAAGAGTCTCTATCCCTATATTTTATTAATTGAGGGCAAATTTCTCTACCTCCTCATTTTACTTTTATTAATTCATTATAAATCTAAACAATAAGACTACTCCTCATTATCTTCTATGAGACCGCCTCTACAAATTATTTAAGAGATAATCCTGAAATTTGAACATCTCCATTATGTTTTAGGGTTAGATTGTGCTTTGAGATAACACTAGATTTATAGAAGTGTATCTCCTTAGTTGGAGAATGGCATTTGGAATCCAGGATCTGGGTGTTGGTTATATTTTTCATGTCCATTTCTAATAACAAACCATGATATATATCTCTCTCTTCCAGTAAAATCACTGATAATTATTGTGTAAAACACTACCCTGAATCCGGTCTGGTACTAATGTTTCTAATCAACTATTTACATTTTCTCCATCCATCCTCAACAAATGCTTCGAGGTAGATCCTAGATTCATCACCATCCCATCAACAAAGACCCATTATTTTTCCACTGTCACACAGTGGCTGAGTGGTGGGGCTGGGTGTGAAACCAGGTCGAAGTCTAGATTTCTATAAATCTAGACTCTTACCCGCCCCGCTCTGCTGCCTCAGGGTACAGGTTGCGTGGATCTCACTCTAGTGAGATCAACCCCAGTTCTGCCATTTCCACTGTGACCCCTCTGAGTTTTCTCATCCATAGAATATCATCAATAAAACCCATTTTATAAACAAATAAACCTAAGACACTCTTGGCAGGATAGAGTATAGAGAGAGCATGATGACGTGAGCACTGTCAGGACGGGTCCCCTGTTGGCCGGGACAAGCCTAGCGGTGAATCACTCAACTCTGAGATCAATATTTAAGGTTTAGTTGCCGGATCCACCATATCTAGTTTCTTAAAGTCTCTGTGCCTCAGTTTTCTCTTCTAAAATTGCAGCCACCCTACAAGTGGGTTGGCGGGATTACCCCATCCGGTAACATCAGCACTGACCACAGCACCTGGTGCATAGGAGGAGCTGACATAACACTGATCCCTATCAGTGTTGCTATTTGAATCCCCAGTGTCCAGACAAGTGCCTGGCTTCGTATGTTTGAATGGGTGCACGTGGATGGATGCGAGGCTTGGCCTATATGAAGAACAGCATGTGGAGCAGGTCACCACTTCAGGACTGAGATGTGCCTTCTGTCCATGTCTCCTGGCGTCTCTATGTACCACTGCTCAACTCCCTGAGGTTCCTCATCTCCCTAAGAAGGAGGGTCCATGCGGTGCCCCCATGAAGAGGACTCCTGTGATGGATGGTTCTGTTGGAACCACAGGGCACTGATGGACTCCAGCCTCATGCATCACAGGGCCATCAGGACTGGCACCTTGAAAATGTGCTGTGTGAGTACATCGTCAGAACGCTGTCACCCTGGAGATGGATTCATCAGCAGACGGGCGGTCGTAAAGGGAAGGAGAAGAAGTGTTAGAGGAAAGGGCGACCGTCTTGATGGCGAAGAGACCCTGGTGCTGACGTACGAGGGGTCCAAACTCTCTAGCTGATCGATGCTAAGAAGGCCACAGGGCAGAGCAGAGTGGCAGAGTTCCGCCGAGGATGGATGGTCCGCCTGGAGCCCTGAAGCCTGGGGTCCTGTCAGGACTCATCTACTGACTCCTACTGAATGCTCCTGACATCTCCCCACTGCATACCAACTGCCTAGGCTGGCCCTGGTCGGTGTATCACAAAGACTGTTCCAGTGAATGCTATTCCCAGGAGATACGCTACTGAAAACTTTGAATTCAACATATTGACCCAGATTTTACTCGGAGCCCTCACAGAGACTGAAATACACTACTGTTGATGGTGGTTCCCACAGACATAGAGCAAGCCCTCTGTCTCAGGAGTATCTAACCAGGTAGTGCTCATTCTTATGTGGTACGTGTTAAGCTACTCTTCTGGGGCACCTCTGGATCCCATGACCCCCAAGATCCCTGCCAGTGGTGGAAATGTGGAGATGGGAACATGACCTACAGGATTAGCAGACCTGGGTTCCCACCCAGGCACCGCTGGGTATGAATCCGATGACTTGACTAGCCTGTTTCACCTTCCAGACCATTCCAAGTCCATCCCCAGCTCAGGGTAGCTGGGAGGACCACATGAAAGGGTACTGCAAACGGCTGCTACCCAACCTGAATACAGCCAGCATTTGCTAACCAATGGTTCCCGTTGTTGTTACCATGAACTAACATTCACTGAGTACTTCACCATACAGGGTGTTGTGCTATCTACACCAACAACCTTATTTAAACCATAAAAGTATCAAATGGTGTAGACATTGTTGAATTCACCCACAATATACCTGAAAGAAACAAAGGCTTAGAGAGACTAAATGACTTGTCCAAAATGATACGTGAAGCCTGAGCCTTAAACCATGATGTTATTATGCAAACCTAACCTAAATTAAGGGATATCACACCCCGAATATTTCCTACTGAGCCACCACATCCAGCATACCAGCCTCAGACTTTTGAAGATGGATGGACTCTTGAAAAGTGTGATTTTCCTTAGAAGTTTTGCTCTGAAGGTACAAGGAATTCATGTGTCACCATGCTACAATGGCATTATTACAATGTCTTAGAATGTCATCTTCAGCAAATTCTCTGTAGCTTTCGTGTCTGGAATTGAATACAGATGGCTTTGAAGGCAGGGCATATTGCAGGGGTTGGGAAAATCCCTTTTACAATGTTTCAACCCTTCCCTTCCCTTTGGACTTACGCAGCCAGTCGGTCTGCTCTTCATGGGCCAAGGTAGAGCTTGTCCAGCCTCAGTAGCTGAATTCAGGGAACCTCCACATTGTGGATACTGACCTAAAAGAACTGGCAAGAGAGAGGACTCTGTGGCCTGTGGAAAACCATGGAATGTGGGGTCAGACCCGTGGGTCATTGAATCCCACTAAGTCGCTCTTTAGAGCAGGCAAAACATATTTGCTTCTCAGAGCACGGGGCTCCTTTAAAAAGAGGATATCTAAGATGAACGTCTCGAGGTTCCCCTCGCTCCTGCACTCTGTGACTCCCACAGCATTCCTCTCTGTGCACACCTTGCTTGCAGAGCTCCTGACTGGATCAAAGACTACCACAGCAGTCATGGAGTGAAGTTCCACATGCAGTCGGAGCCGCTGACAGGCACACAGTCAAGATGCTAACGCCACAGATGTGGGTATTCACCCTGGTAATGGTGGAATTTAATTTCAGGAGAGAGCTTCCCTATCACATAATGGTGTATCATTGCGCTACGTTTTACTTCCCCTAGCAAATAAAGTACACAGGGAAAAAAAAATGGAAAAGAACATACATTGTTTTATTGTCTTGTGAAATTGCTGGGTTTCAAGCCAATAGCATGCCTTAATGCTCAAGTTCTCCAGGGTGATACAAAGTGCAGAGCCTCTCTGTTTGTGAAGCTAAATTTAATAAACAGAGTAATCCCCTGGCAAGCCCCGGGATCTTTCTAATATCCTGATGGCGTCGAGGGAGAGGGCCTTGATACGTGAAAAACAGCACAAGACCTTACTACCCAGGCTGCTGGAAACGCCTGCCCTTTAATTGAGGCATCTGCTTTTCACGCGGTGGTGAGGTGCTGGGTTGGAGGTGACTTGAACTGTGGGCGCTGCCCTTGAGTCATGGGCGCTGTCCACAAGTCGTGGTGCTGAACCAGGAGGCTTTCAATCCAGGGCTGCCCAGCCTGGTCTCAGGACACAAAGACTACTGGCCTCTTTCGGTATAAGGACGTCCTTGCTCTACACCCCGCCTGGCGTTTTAGATGCACACTTGCAGTAGACATCATATCATCAGAGCCTTGTCATGACCACCCATCATTTTTGAGCACTCATTCTGTACCAGGCAGAGACGGGCGTGTATTCAACATACTCAGTCTTTACATATGTCAGTCCTGCCGTGACGCCTCGGTGGAAGACGCTGTTCAAGTTCCCTAGGAGCAGGGCCTGGATGTTCTTGGGTGAGTGATTTATCCAGTGCTCTCAGGCAGAGGGGACAGAGGGAAGTAGAGTGGATGAAGGGGCACAAGCCTAAGGGAGGATGAAGAGATCCGATTCAGCCTGATTCCTTGGGAGCTCCGGAGCACAAATTGCAATGCAGAGTTGATTCCACCGTAAGACAAAAGATGGGCCTTTGCCAGGCACAGTGGAGCACGCCTGTCAGCCCAGCGGCTCGGGAGGCGGAGGCAGGAGGGTCCCGAGTTCAAAGCCAGCCTCAGCATAAAGTGAGGTGCTAAGCAACTCAGTGAGACCCTGTCTCCAAATGAAATACAAAATGGGGGCTGGGGATGTGGCTCAGGGTTCGAGTGCCCTGAGTTCAAGCCCCAGAAACACCCCACACACAAAAAAAGATGGGCCTTTCGGTATCCCTGTGTCCGTCAGCCATTGACCACAGACTTCCCAGGGAAAGGGTTTGATCCCGTTAGACCAGGGAAGTTCTCTAAGGAGGTGAAAGCGTTCTGTGAACAGCTGACATTCACAGGCAGGATCTGGAGCTGGGGTGCACCCACCCCATGGCAAAAAAAGAAGCCGAACCAAGCCCACGGGCATCCACTGCACAGCTGGAGCTTTACACACATTCGCAGATTCCTCCTATCACCAACAGATACTCTGTTCCCATCACTGCTTCCCCCCAAATCAGCAGTTCAAACCAGAAGCCATCCTTTGTTCTGCTCATGGTTCTGCAACTTGGGCAGGGGCTTCAGCCAGGGAGACTCATCCTGGTTCCATGAAGCGTCACCTGAGGTGGAAAATTCACCCCCAAGAGGGCTCATTCACCAGACGGACAGAATAGAGCCGGGCGCTCAGCCAGGGCCGGGGACTGGGGTCCTTGGTTCCTCCCTATATGGGTCTCTCCGTGTCGCCTGAGCTTCTTGGAAGCATTATGTCTGGACTCTAAGGAGAAGCGTCTCAAGGGAGAGAGCCATCACTTTTTATGGCCAGCCTTATAAGTTAAATAACACGCCCTCTGCTGTCGCCTACTCATCAGGGAGACCCCAGATCGATAGACTCCACCTTTCAATGGGAGAGCAGCCGTGTCCTTGGAGAGCTCAGGGGATGCGAAATATTGCTGCCGCCATTTGGGGGAAATGCCATTTGGAGCATGCATCTGTTCACCAGCGTCTGTGCCCTTTTCTCAGTAGCTGATCCTTGCGACTTGCTATAGAAAACCACAGAGGGACCCAGAAATGCCCAGGGACGTGCCCTCCTACAGCGGCCCTAGCCCAGGCCTGACCAGGGCAGAAGACAGGAAGCTCCTTGCTGCAGGCAGAGGCAGACTCCGAGGTACGGTTTATGTTCCAGAGCGTCCCTCCAGGACTGGGCCTCGCTTCACTTCCTCCCCTGCCCTGCTCTCCCCATCCCTCGGCCAGTTTCTACCAGGAGCACTTCCTTCATTTGCACGTGACTCCTCATTTCAGAAGCTGCCTCTGGGGACTTCGCCCAAGACAACCTCCCGCCCGGGGAGTCGCGGTGCTGATCTGCTCTGCCCCTCATCTAATATGTAGACAAGCGTCACCTGGTGATCTCCTGTTTCACATTGTCTCACCAACTTTGATATCATCATCTATCTTTATGCTTGGTTTCCCAAGCACTGGCGGATGCTGCATCTTATTCATCTCCATTTCCTCCAATTCCTGAAAAATAATGTAGGGAGGTGGTGCATGCTGTCGAGCACTTGCTATCTGTCAGGTGCCTCTCTGCATTCATTACCTCCTCTCATTTGAAAGCGATTCTTAGGACGATTATTATTTTAGGCCTCTCGTGGTGTAACTGAGGAGTACAATGTTGGGAGGCTGGGGCATTGCCCTATGCAACCCCAGCAGGAGCCATGAATGGAAAATGCTATGGAAAAGCACCCCCCAGGATTTGGGGTGCCCCCTAGACTTGTGCAATGAATTCATCCCCTTCTCAGAAGGACAAAGAAACGTCCCCAAGGTGACTCAGGCTGAGAGGAACAGAGCCTGAATCTGACGACCTGATTGGCTGCAAAGTCCTCGCCTTCTCCCCAAGGCCAGGATGGTCTCCGGTGGCTGAGATTTACGGATTATTTTTTCATCTATTTTCTTCACCCCAATTAGGCTTTTGAATGGTCGTGCTCTTCAGGTGACGATAAAGGTATTTTTCATCACAGTGAAATAAGCTCTTGACCACCTGGAAAAACAAAAATAGCCTGCGTTATTCTTTGACCAGAGTCTTCAGGGGTGGTGGGAGGGGTTCCCAGAATCCACCAGCCTAAGAAGAAGGCTGCTTTCCAACCGAGTTGAACGAGAAGGCGCCAGGGAAGGGATCGCGCCCCCGTGAGCCGAAGGACATGGGCTTGCTCTGCCCTGTGCACCACGTCTCTCTCCTCTGGTTTTCCGTCTGGCCGCCTCACTCGCTGCTTTCTCTGTGACGGGCACCTCACAGCTGTGACAGGGAATGACATGCCCTCGCAGGACACCTCAGCTCCGTGTCAGCCTCCCTCTCTGAAAAATTGAAGTTTCAGTTCCAGAAATTGCTGTTTTCAAAAGTGACATGGTGGGAGCCTTGTGCCTTTGACAGAGGAAAGAAACCCACGTGACTCTCACAGGGTGACTGACAGGCCTTTCCACGTTACCAAGACCCTGGGTCCTGGGGCCAGACCGACAGGGTTTGAATCCCAGCACCACCACCGGCCACCCAGGTTGTTTGAACCCTGGATGCCTCCGTTTCCTCGTCTGCAAGATAGGGATTTGTGGGATCGTTTTAGAGATAAACAGAAACAGAAACATTAATCACTTAATACTTGCAACATATTGAAGCACTGGTCCTGTTGCTGTTATCGTTAATCATCATTGTCACTCACTAGGCCCTGCTGGACTCACGGGACATCAGGGCATCAGTACTTGAGTGAACCTGCTCACCCCTCAACCTTTGAGCTTGGCCCTCATTTTTCTCATCTCTGACCTTGCATCTTCCAAGACCTTCCCACAATATATGCAGCTCATGTGTGGGCTGGGGATGTGGCTCAAGCGGTAGCGCGCTCGCCTGGCATGCGTGCGGCCCAGGTTCGATCCTCAGCACCACATACCAACAAAGATGTTGTATCCACCGAGAACTAGAAAATAAATATTAAAAATTCTCTCGCTCTCTCTCCTCTCTCACTCTCTCTTTAAAAAAAAAAAATATATGCAGCTCATGTGTGCACGCGCCTGTGCACACACACACACACACACACACACACACACACACACCAGCTATGGACATGTTCAAATCGTACTGTCCCAGGTCACTTTCAGAAGCCACAATGCACCCCAGGTAGGTGCTGGAGCAGCAGCACGTAGCAGGGCTAGCGGCGGAATTACAAGGGAACATGGGCCGGAGGGCAGCGTCCATGGAAGCCTAGTGTCTCCGAGGCACGCTGTCACCTCTCCTTCTCCCTTGGCAGTCACGGCACACGTGACCCTCTCAACCATCCCACACAGCAGGTGTGGTCACAAGGCAAAGTGACTTGCCCAGGCCACAGGGCTGCTGAGTGCAAGAGCTCAGACCCAGACCCCGCTGCGTTTGCCTCCCGCCTGCGGCCCCTCCTCCAGCGCCTCCCCTCCTGCCATGTCTGGGCGGTCAGTAGCAGGCCGCGCCCCCATCGCTGGGTGACCCAGGGCAGGTGGTGTGGCTGAGTTTAAGGTGTGGAAGCAGAAAGAGTTTGAAGGAGAGAGACGGGTGCTCTCTCACGACCACTCCAGGAGTCAGACACATCCCTGTGCATACAGATGTCACCGTTAATGTCCTTTCCCCCAGAAGATCCAGGCAGGGGATCTGGGCAAACCCATCACGGCCCTGAACAGAATGTTGATGAATGACCTCATTAACCCGGAGCCTGCAGCAGCCCCCTCCCTGGTGTGGAACCTGGCTCAGCGCCCTCAGTCCTCGTCTGTGCCCCCAGTGACGCCCACACCAGCCTCCAGCCCAGCCCACAGCGCACCCGCATAATTGGGCCCATATTGTCGCTCCCGTCGCTCTTCCCGCCCACAAGTTGGGAGCCAGTTAATATCAACTTCACTCCTACAAACAAAGACACGGAGGCTCAGAGGACTCAGATGAGTCAACCAAGTTCCCGGGGACCCGAACCAGGCATGGCTGACCCAGAGCCCGGGTCTCACCTGGACACTGTGCTAGCTTTCCTAGACCTTCAACAGTCTGCAAAGCCCTTTCGATCCATCCTCTCATTCTGTCCGTCAACCAACGCTGTGGGGTCGACCTCCACAGCAAGCCTTCATGAGAAACCTGAGGAGCGGGTTTAAACTATACATGAAAGAGTAAAACTATGAAAGTCGCAATTTTGGAAGAAAAGGGAGAAAAGCGTAAAGAGCAGAGAAGACAACTCACCCAACTAGGTATCGTGACATCCTGCAAGACCACCCTCGTAAGTACAATATGGCACCCGCTCAAAAGCAAGAGGGACAGTGGACCAAACCAGGAGCAAGGTGACAGTGATGATGTCCGAGAGAGGTCAGGTCACCTCTCAAATCCGTGGAAACATCACGGATCATTTTATAAGTATTTCAGGACGTTAGGCACATAGTACATGCACAATGAGTCTAGGTAGGGACAGGCTGGATCTCTACCTCACTCTGTATAGAAAACTAGCCTTCCAATGCACTCAAGGTAAGTCCTCAATATTTAAGCCAAAGAATTTTAAAACCGGTTTTGGCCTCAGAGTATGAGGTGATTTCTTTATGAGATCTCCAAAGCACAAACTCTGGGAGAAAGGATGAATGGATTTTGCTTGACAAATACAAGGAGGATATTACCAACAGGTGACAGGCCAGAAGAAAGCAATTGCTACATCCCAGAAGGAGAGAACAGGTTGACAGAACATACCTGGTGAGAGGCTTCATCTCCCAGCTTTTCATGATGTGAAGGACATCACTGAGATGCCACTTCACACCCTCCAGATAGGCACAAGGTTCTATTGGCAGAGGACATGTGGAAATGCACCTCTCACGTATCACTGGGACTCTTCCAGCCAACTCCTGCAGACATGAATCAGTCAGCTTTGTGTTACTGCAACAAAATACATGAGACAAAGACCTCATAAGGAGAAAGGGTTTATACTGGGTCGTGGTTCTGAGGTTCCATGGCAAGATCAGGTGACCCTGTGGCTTTGGGCCTATAGAGACAGGGGCACATCATGACAAGAGGGCCTGATGGAGCAAACTGTTCACTTTGTGAGCCATGAGGAGAGAGAGGCTAGTCTCACAATCCCCTTCAAGGACGTGACCTCTGAACCCAGCACGTCCCACAGTCCCCACCTCCTAAATGTTCCATTGCTTTCCGACAGTGCCACCCTGGGGACCCAGCCATGGACACTCGGAGCTTTGGAGAGATGCCTAGCCAGACCTTAGCATCACATATTCTAGAGAAACTCACAAAGTCCACAAGAAACTCACAGGAAAATCATCTCAGTTTTGTGGTAGTAACGACGAGTTGGAGGAAACCCAGTTGCACATCCGAGGGGAACAGAGAAGTGTGGTGTAAGACCCCGTGAAGGGCCGTGACTCCTTCAGAAACAGGAGCTAGACTGGTGGATGACAAGGATGAGTCTCCAACGACCGCTCGGAGGGAAAACGGAACCAGACGACACAATGTCATTCACGCAGAGTTTCAGACACACCCACCCCCAGCAGTGCCCAAGGGTGCACGCACTTTGCGCGTGTGCAGATAAACACGGGCCGCTGAGCGGAATCCACATGGCGACCGGGTGAAGGGTCGCGCCTTGTGGGAAGGAGAAGGTGGGGATGGCAACAGAGGAGAAAGCAATGAACTTCAGAAACTAAACAGAAGCTACGCGCAATCCAATCGCGACAGGACGCCAACGTCTGAGATCCATGATGGTCACGGGCACGTGAAGCCCAGGGACGAGGGTCAGGAACGGGAGGAGAGACGAGTACAGGAAATGTCGGCCCACCCCCGACAAAGAAGAAAAGCAGCAGAAGCCAGGGACTCGCGTACTGAAGCCAAGAAGGAGGAGAGACAGAGGCGGATTGCTTCTGATGCAGTCTTGGATTCGCACAGGGCCTGGGGGTCTCTCTCCCACGCTGCACAACAGCACTTCAGTGGCTGCGGGGCTCTTCCGCACAAAGGGGCCGCTGGTCTCAGCAAAGCCGCTGATGCAGAGCCAATAAACAGGGAGGGGGCTAAAGAAAAGCCCCCGGCACCCACGGAGCTGTCTCGCTCAATTAAACCCGGTCCACCTACGCCCCAAAGCTAAGCCACACAACAACTTTCCTTTAAGATTTAGAACTTTGGTGACTCAGACTTGCTTTCTTATGCAACCACTCCCTAGCCATGGGATCTGGGACAACTTCTCAACCTCTCTGTGCCCCAGTTTTCTCAAAAATGCAGGGAATCATAGTCCCAACCCCCTCGAGACACCGTAGTTAAATGAGATAATGTGTGCGACCGTCAGCACGGGGCCTGACACGTAGCAAGGTCTGTTCGCTGAGAGGAGAGGCTGCGATTTCAACAGTTATTTCTGTTATCCTAACTCAGTCGGGGCGTGCCTCTGGAACCCTCCTGCCACAGTGACGTTCAAGTCCTGGATCTGAGTGGACCCACGGGCCTCAGCCTGCTTCTCCGTCAAGCACAATGGCTCAGACCCTGCTGCAGATACGCAGGACAGCACCTCGCACCCCAGTGGGGCCTCCGAGTCCCGGACCTTCTAGAAGGAAGCAAGACCTGCAGCAGCCTTTCAAGATAGAGGCATGTAGATATTTATATGGCGATGTCCACACTCAGTCAGCTTTAACCATGATAAAACGTCACACGAGGATCACAGGATCACGTCACACTTCACTCGTGGCAGGTGAGCGTCGCTACGACTCCGCGCTGCAGACTGAAGACCCAGGCTCCAGGGAATTTGCGGGGATTTGTCCAAAGTCACAGCTGGTGTGTTGAGGGCTGGGATTCAAACCCTGGTCCTGCAGGCCTCCAACTCTCCATTCCTGTCCACCAGCCGGAGGCCGGGAGCCGAGGCTGAGATGCACGGGGCAGGGGCAGGGATGGAGAGGCGGCATGCGAAGGCAGGTGCTGACCCCAGGTTGATGAGTGGTCATCTTGGAGAGCTGCTCCCTCGGTGTCTCCCCCTTGTGTTCTGGAAATAGAGTGGATCCATAGAGAGCTCAGCCTGCAGACACGCGGAGCTCCCCTGTGTCACTTAGAGTCAGAATGGCAGAGCGGTGAGAAGGCTGGCACCCGATCAATCCACCAAGGAACAGGCCAGGGGTAGAAGGGACACCACCCAGCAATCAGAAGAGCAGGGCAGGAAGAGACCACCTCCAGCATCCAGCAACCACAGTCGCCTCTGTGTGTCCTCTGACCTCAGCCTTTGCGCCCCCAGATGACCCAGCTGTGCCCACTACCGCGTGGCCAAGGAGAGGTTCCGCCCCTCGGTACCTTCTCTGAACAACAGGCTTATTCATCATGGACAGGGAGACTGCGGAGACCCCTGAGAACTCGTCCAGCATAAACCTGGACAACATCAGCGCTCGGTAAATGAAGGAGGCTCCGTTTGTTATGTCTCGGGTGAAGAAAATCTGGTCACTGTTGGTTTCCATGGAGGCCCAGATGGCTTCAGAGCTCCTTCTGGGAACAGGTGTGGCCGTGTGTGTTGTGATCGTTAGGGTTTGAGGGAAGCGGGCGGCCAGTGTGGGGAGATGAGAGTGAGTGGGCGGAGGGCGCTGGGTGGGGGCCTGGGCAGAGGGGCAGACAGAACGGGGAGCTGAGAAGGCAGCGTTCAGCAGGAGCTGAGCCTGTAGTGGGCGCGGACGGGAGTGTGTGGCAGGCCAGGGCTCCGCGTGGCGGAGTGTGAGTCTGTGAGCACAGTGTGTCAGGGTGAGATGAGAGTGTGGGGGGTCGGGAGGTGTGAGGAGGTGCGTAGAGGGAGACGGGGGTGTGGTCACAGATCATGAGTGTGTGTGTGTGTGTGTGTGTGTGTGTACACCTGAGCAGGCTTGAGTGTGTGTGTGTGTGTGTGTGTGTGTGTGTGTGTGTGCCTGAGCAGGCTTGGGACACCACCAATCCCACAGCCCTGGACGATGCACCAAGTTCACAGTGGTGAGTTTCACGCCTCCTCTGTCGGGTTCCATTGTAGGACGGATGCTGCCGCTTTAAGCAGCTAGTGTAGCGGGGAGTGGAGCAGAGAGAACCGTTATCAGTCCTGGGTGTGGGGAAACATTTGTGGCTTAAAAGAAGGCTTTGTTCGACCACCAATTACTCCTGCTTTTGAAAACGCTTTTGCTCGCATTTGATTAGGACTTAAAAGTGCGGCTTAATACTCCCTGTCTTGCCTGGAACTGTGATTTCCTTCTCGCCTCCAAATGAGTCTCTGTGAATTCAAGCATCTTCCTCTCATTTGCTCACCTTTCAGGGGCCTGGGGACGGGGCTGTGAGTGAGCAAGCCTGCCCTCTACAGGCGGAGGGCCGTAAAGGAGCCTTGAAAATGATTTCAGCCCCTTCACCGTGGTAGGCCTGCAGGGCACCGAGCCCCGGCTGGAGGTGGGTGCCAGGGATCCCACTCACAGGTCTGACTCCCACACCTTCCCTAACCCCCTGGCCCGGATGGATACCAGCACTGGTGTAGCATCGGCGCCATCCAAAACCCCACCTGATGAGCCTGGGAGGCCTGGCTCCTCTTGTAACTCTCCCACAGTCCCCTGCTCCAGGCACCCCTGCGCCTGGCTGCCCCTCCACCCGTCTGTACTGCCGGGACTCTGTCGGTCCTTGTCTGGAACACCCCTGTTCCGTCTCTGCCTCAGGAGCCCCTCCCTCAGAGCTCAGCCTCGCCTGAGCCCTAAAACTCCCGTGGCCCCCCAGGACAGACGCCCTCGCGCCCTCAACTGGACAGCCCGATCACCTGGCGCCCCTGCACGCCCGAGTTCCTGCACGCGTTCGTCTGCGTGCGGTTTGCACAAGTCTGCCATCTTCCTTAGCCCACGATATCCTTAAGGGCAAGAACGGCTTGGTTCATTTTGGCGTCTAAGAAAACTATCCCAGGCCCCGGGCACACATAAGAAAACCTGCTCCTAGGTGTCACCATGGCCCCTCTCCCTGGCACTTTCCATTCTAGGCTCATACTCCCGAAACAGAAGAGTCGGGCCGTGGTCTGGAGATAATGGATGGAGCAGCGTGGTAGAAAGAGGAGGGGCCACGAAATGGAGGATGACGTAAAACTTCGGGAGGTTTCTCTTCCCAAATCCTCCACCCTGGATGGCGAGGAGCGTCACGAAGCCCCCGGCCGCAACGCAGCTGAGCCGGTGCAGCAGAACGACTCTCCTTTGCAGGAAAGAATGGCATTTATTTTCTCCTCCGAAGACCTCCTTGCACAGCAGGCACGGTTTATGGCAGGTCTCCCCCGCCTGCCCCGGCAGGTCGTAAAGACGGATTAAATAATGGGGGAGGTGACTCTTAATGACCCACGCAGCGGCCACCCCGTGCGTCCTCTCTTCTGCCCGTGGTGGGTATCTTTACGGATGTAGAGTGTTACTTAAGAGATGCTCTTTATAGGATTGTGGGTCATGGTCAAAACCCAAGCAATGGGGTTGAGACCATTTCAATCACGGCCTCGGACACATGCTTTGACATGCACCAGGCTCCTCGGAGGAGAGATTTCGCTGTACGGTTCGTCTCTTGCCCTCTGGGGTGGGGGCAGTTTGGGAGGATCTGCTGGAACAGAGAAGTGGGATAGTGTGCTGGCCCCCTGTCCACACAGGGAGACGGGTCAGTGCAAAGCACCCCAGTGAGACCCCACTTCCAGTTGGATCCGTCAATGGCTCTCTCCCTCCTTCTCTCCATGGAAAATTCCACTGGACCAGCTTCATTTCTTTATCAAGATTCACCGTTCCGCTGACAAAGCCTCTTCACCCACTTCTCTCCAGCGTCCAGCCCCTGCGCTCCCCTGCCCTCCCCTTGCTGGCCCCTGGCATCTGCATGGCAGTCCCTAAGTCTCAGTCTCCTTGTGTAGACTGTCCCTTAATTAAACCTCCTGGGAAGCCCCAACGGTGAAGGTGTCACCTCTTTTATCTGTCGGATCCTGACGGATTGCAAATGCCAGATGAGGCTTTGGAGCTGGTACCCAGCACTGTCCCAGGATTCCAAGCAAGTCATTTGGCTCCTGGTCTCTCCTGCGACCTCAAGTGCAGAATGGCAATCCAACAGTTCCCAGGAAGGGACACGTCAAGCTGAGCCCAGGAAGTACCCATGTCCCCCTCTTTTCCGCTTTGCCCACTCTGGTGGGAGGCACTGGATGACCTAAATGCTCTTGTCTACTGCATGGGTCAGAAACAAGGAACAAAACCAAGTGATGAATTTCCCCGGGCCGCAGACAGCAGCCTTTCTGTGCTTGTCGATAAAATGTTTAAAATAGGACTTGATTGGCTTTTGCTTTAAAGAAGCTTATTAACTTGCTCGGATCCACGGGAGGAAGGAGGCAGGTGTTGCTCCCATTCCCCACCAGCTTCTTAATCAGCATCCAACGCTCGGCAAGCCACTGCGGTGGGCACCGAAATGGCTCAGGGAGCTGTTTGGGTGACTGGAGGGTGACAAGGCTCCTCGGAGGTGACATTGATAAATGGGAGGCCTCGGCTGCAGCCCCGGCTCTTCCTCGGTTCCTCTGCTGGTTTTAATTGTGGCTGGCCCCTCATCTCCCTCCAGCATGCCAGGTCTCAGCCTGCAAACGGCAGTGAGGCCCAGGAAGACAGACCACGCGGTGCAGCAGGCAGATCCAGGAGCTGCCCTCCGCCCCCAGAGCCAGCAAAATGAAAGCGCATTCTGCAGGGCCAAGCCCGGAATTCCACCGCTGGAGACGGATTCACTGACTTATCTCATTTTCAATTTATTTTTTTCAAAAAAAAAATATTCCAAGATCTTCCCTTGACCCTGAAATTGATAACAAAACAGGATACAATGACCAGTCAGTCCCCATCAGAGTAAGCAGAGCTGGGGCTGACTGCAAAGACGGACTCAAGAGACCAGGGGTCGGCCCTAAATCCTCCCCAACACTTCCCTCAGCCCAGCCCCAGCCCCAGCCCTCAGCCTTCAACAAGGACCATCTGCGTAACCAGCTCCTTGGACACTTTTCCCGGGAGGTGTCCTCTGCCCTGAGCAGTTCCAAGTTGAGGACGTACTTGATGTGATAAGAGGGCAATCACTGTTTATTCATGTATTCATTTTTTCCTTTTTTAATTTGTTCTTTTTAGATGACAGTAGAGTACATGTTGACATACATACGCAGAGTGTGTCAAATTCTAATTTGGACACCAGCTTTGTGGTCACGCACATGATGGGAGATACACTGTGGTTTATTCATGTATGAACATAGGGAAGTTATGTCCAGTTCACCGCACTGTCTTTCCTATTGTATCTCTGCTCCCTTCCCTTCTTTCCCCTCGATCTAGTCCACTGAACTTCTATTCTTCCCTCCCCGACTTATTGAGTGTTAGCATCCACCTATCAGAGACAACATTTGACCTCTGGGTTTTGGGGGATTGGCTTATTTCACTTAGCATGAGAGTCTCCAGATCCATCCATTGACCAGAAAAAGTCATAAAGCCATTCATTTTTATGGCTGAGTAATATTCCATTGTGTATATATACCACATTATCTTTATCCGTTCATCTGCTGAGGGCCCCTAGGTTTATTCCATAGCTTAGCTATTGTGAGTTGAGCAGCTATAAACATTGATGTGGCTGTGTCACTGAGGTATGCTCACTTTAAGTCCTTTGGATCTATACCAAGGAATGGTACAATTCTTCCTCTATTCTTTGGATGCCTCCCTGCTACCCTTGGAGCTGAAGGTGGGACCCGTAGCAGAATGGCAACATTTCTTTAAGAATCATCTCAGCAAGGGAGCAGGCAATGAGTTATTTCAGGTCACATCACAACGGTGACTACTCGAAAAATCCCGATGGCTCCTCCCCGGCCCTTGCACCGGGTGTCCACTTCAGTCTCTTCCCTGTTTTGTTTCCCCAGCACCTGAACATTCCCAAGCATGGATATTGTCCAGAGAGAGGCTCAACTGGGAGTTGTAGTCCCATTTGTAGGATGGACCCTGTGATGGGCACTCCCTGGGCTATGAATATTCATGAGGTGGGTGGGAAGCATTTCCCTGGGCTATGAATATTCATGAGGTGGGTGGGAAGCATTTCTCACACGACCTGGAATGGAGCAAGCAGGCCACCAGTTCAGGTCCTCCCGCCACTTCCAATCATCATCATCTTCTCCTTCTTTATTTCTGGCTTTTTTGCGGGGGGTGGGGAGTGGCTTCTTCACAATTTGTGACATGCAGATGTGACCCAGTGACTCCACAAACACCACGGGCACCTCCTGGCCCATGGGCCACAGAGACCAAACGGCATGAATCCTGTTTAACTCCTTCCCACCCAAACCCAAGAAAGGCCAAGAAACGCCCTCTGAGAAAATGGCCTCAGCCTCTCAGAGGAGGGCTAACAGAAGCCTCCAAGAACCCAGGGGAGCAGGAGGAAGGAGCACAGGAAGCAGGTCTGGGTGCCACCCGGGTGCAGCTCCTCTGGGGACGGAAGCCTCCTCCTTCCTCTCTGCATCTCTGCCCGGGCTCACCCCTCTGGCTGCTTCCCTGAGAGAGGAGGGGGTGCCAGTCTGCTTGCCCCAGCCCTGCGCCTCCTCTGAGCAGCTTGGCTGCTGGATGTGTTACTGGGCCTTAATGGTCTGCATCCTAGAGCGAACTCCTCCGGCTTTCCTCCCCCATATAGTCAGCACATTTAGACGGGAAACAGCAGCAGGGAGCTGTGAGCCCGCCTCCAGGCTGAACCCGCATCCCCCACCCAGCCTCTTGCCGCCCCCTGCACTGGGGAATACGGGGCTCACCCGGCTGTGTAAATACCAGCCCTTCCTTTCCCACTTAGCCCTTGTTTTCTGTGCAACCGAACCCTCCTCACTCGGGAATCTTTGGGAAAGAAAGACGGAGCGCCAGGGCAGAACTGGAGCATGTCTTTGTTTGGGTTCCCCCAGAAGCAGACCCCTGAGAGGATAAACTGAGCACAAGTCGTTTGTCTGAAAGTTCCTGGGGCACTGGAGGGAGAGCGGGGATCCATATGGGAATGGAAAACAGACAACAAAGGGACTTTGGCAAGCCACTCCTGCTCTGGGGAAAGGTGTGAGGAGCTGGGTTGTGTATATGCCCACTCCCGTCAGACGCTGGGCGAGCCCGGCACATCCAGCCGGCCTAGGCCTGAGCAGACGGGCTTCCCAGGAAATGCCAAGAGGTGGAGACGCAGGTAGCAGCTCAAGTTCTTCAGAGCACATTAAAAGGGAAGACAAGGCAGATGTAAATAACCCTGACCCTGACCCTGACCCAAATCCAGAGCATCTCCAGGTCTCCAGCCACCATGTCACCCCTAAAACACCAGAACCCCACTTAGAAATCGGAGCACCCACGGAGCTGGACCCAGGAGTGCCTCACCCAGCTCAGCTGACTACTCCCCAGCACAAGGCAAGGCGCAGTCCAGGGGGCTTGGGCATTACAGCATCATGGCACATCAAGGAGGCCGAGCAGAGAGGCCAAGATCCTGAGTCTAGACGCCCAGCCAGGCTCCAGTCTCAGCTCTGCCACTTACTAGCTGGGTACACACGTTAATGTGCATCTTTGCTCCCCAGTTTCCTCATCTGCGAAACAAGGCAATGACAAGGGAACTCCCCAGGTGGGTCTGAGGTTGGTGGGGTCCTTGGTGTCTGAACCCATTGTTTTTCTCCTAGAGCCTGATGTGGCTCAGCTCTCCGGCAACTCTCTTGTTAAATAAAATAAGCACCTATGGGAAGAAACCCAGGTAGGCTGAGAATCACCATGGGCCTGTAAATCTCCGCTGCCTCACGTAATGCCCACGGCCATCCCTGGAGCCAAGGGTGACTGTCACGACCTTACAGACATGGAGATTGAGTCTCGAGAAACAAGCTCTGCCTGATTTGATCAGTGCCCACCCAGCACCCCAAACCTTGTACAATCAGCTTCATAAGTGACCCATCAACTCCTGCTTCCCCAATCATCCCTGCCCCGTGTAACCCTAGCAATAATTACGCCACCATCCTCCTTGTGTACCGATGCTCCCTGGGAGATGAATGGCCGGTTTGACAATCACTTTTTAAAAAGTCACCTGAGGTCCACTGGAGGGGTCAGGTCTTTCTCAGGGAAGTGGCCCAAGCTAAGTCCACTCTTGCGCCTCTCAGACAACAGGAAGAATTAGCAGAAGCTTTGAGAAAAAGGGATGTCCCAGAGGCACCACGGGGACCCCACCTTGGAAATGCTTGGAAAGATGCAGGTCACGTTTTATCACATCTACCAGGCTTCAGCTTTCCCTGGACCCCAGACCGGGACGGAGCACGTTTCCGTCCAGTGCCTGGAGCGCCGGGGTCCTTTCTGACCTCCCTCCCTTCCTCCTTCTGACACATCGCTGCCCTCTCTCCCTCTGACTCCCTACTGAGGGGGGCCTGCCCTGGCCCCACTCTGTCTACTCAGGGATTTCAAGTCTGCATGACTTTCCACTCCCAGGGCCAGAGCGCCAAGTGTCACAGAGTCGAGCCGAGCTTAATTAAGACCCGATCACCATCAACACACCCTCCGCGCTTGCAGCTCAGGTACCGGAAGTCCCTCGCCTCCTCCAGCTATTCTCCTAGAAGATAAATCACTTTGTACTTTTTTTTTTTTCCTTGTGAGAACATTCTGAAACAGAGAGATTTTATAGAGTCACAGAGAGACCGGGATCCGCCGTTGGAGAAACCTAGACTGACGATGCACAGTTTACCGTGATCTTGATGGAGCTCTGCAACTTCTCTGAGATTCTAAAATTCTTTACAAAGTGGGAAGACGATCGAACCCTTTCATGAAGACAAAATCGTAAATAGACCTCTTATTAGATCCTGGAATGCAAATAAATCATTGGCCTAATACACGCACCTGCTATACTTCGGGCTGGGGACAAGGGCGTTGAAACTGAGATTCTGGTGGTGGACATGGTCCCTGCCATCAAGGACTTTCCCCCTCTGAGGACCCCCTTGGCGTGCCTGTTCACATCACCACACATCTCCAGAGGGAGGAAGTCTTTCCCCCAGACCTCGCAGGTTTTCTGCCCATCTTGGCTGGCTCTCGGGGCCCACTCTCTGGAGCACCATGTTTCTCAAGATGCGTTGGCAAATTTCTCCTGCACAAGAGAGGCCGACCTGAGCAAGAGCCTCCTGGAATAGCCTGAGGCCAGATCTACTCTGAAGTCAGGGGGCTCCCGGCAACCATATTTGCACCCCACATCCCACCCCTCACCTCCTCAGGTAACTGGGGATCAGACCAGGGGCTGGGGCTGGGGCTCAGTGGCAGAGCACTTGTCTCGCACATGTGAGGCCCTGGATTCAATCCTCAGCACCACACATAAATAAGTAAAGATACTGTATGTCCATCTACCACTAAATAAATATTCTTTAAAAAAAAAAAAAGAGAGAGAGAGAGAGAGAGAGAAAGAAAGAGACCAGACCAGTGAAGGACCTCTCAACTGGTCTGGGCAGCTACATTTTCTCTCCCAGGAATCTGGAATTGGTCTAGAACTAAGTCAGGGAAATTCTGGAGGCCACCCTGTACCATGATGCGGATAAGGAAGGAAAAAAAAAATGTTTTCCAAACAGATGTTTTTCTCCCCTGCAGAGGGACAAAAATCAATGAGGTCTACACAGAGAGAATCATAGAGGGGAGAGCAGAGGCCTCTCCAGGGCCGGCGCCTGGTCTTCCTAAGGGGCTCTGTCCCCTCTGCACCCTCCGCCCCTCACCCTGTACGCCCTGGTTCCAGCTCTGCTGGAGTCGCGCCAGCCACAGTGCTGACTCCTCAAGACCCTGCATCCTCAGGGTCACTCTGCATTCAACACGGTCCTTGTCCCCATCACGTCACGGTGCTGGCCCCGAGTCGCACTGTGCAGCCAACAAACCCTCACCTGGCACCTTCCATCTGCCTGGCCTGAGTGAGGCCCTTGGCAGATCAGAAGTCACCCTCACAGGGGAATGGGGTGCAAACAGGTTTAAGTGTCACACCAAGGGGTGGCACCCAGAGGAGAAAAGAGTTCCAGCCTCGGGACCTGGGTTATCTGCCTGCGACCCCTGACCCCAGAGCCTCCTGGCTTTGACGCTCTGCCCCTCGGAGCCTCGGCGTGCCCTGCTCTAACAAGAGCATAAGAAAGGGTGGGGGCGAAGACGGAGAGAATGCACGGGACACACTTGGAACAGTGCCTGACACACAGCGCCTGCTTAGGTAATGGTGGCTGGGAAAGAAAAGACCCTCAGCTCTTCCGTCCTATCTCTTGAGAGAAAGGTTCCTTGGTCCCGTGTCACGGATAAAGAGGGTGACTGTCTTTCT